CACGCAGGCTGCTGTGCTTCTTCCATGTGGGTTTTGTTGCTTCTCTCTGTACTCTCTTAAGAGCCGTGTCCTCTCTTAAATGCCACCCTGAATTATGAAATTCTGTTATTCATTAATTAACATAGACCTCTATGTTAATGAGGTTAATAGTCAAAAACCCAGGGAAGAAATTTCTGTCTTCCCATTAAAGTGTAATTTCTACAAAGGGGAAGATGCTGTGTGCTTGGTTTACTCTCTTTTTAAAAAAATTTTGTTTTTGTTTTATTTATTTATTTAAAAAACTTTTTTTTTGGTTGTTTACTCTTTCTTATCTCCCTGGCGTAGGAGATCTAGTGCCTGTGGTCTGGTAGGTACTGAAGAATTATTTGTTGACTGTGTGAGTGAATCTCTTCTGAAACTTATGAAAGTATATCAAGTCATTACTTCAAGTTCCCATATCCATAATTTGGATAGGTAATATTTTATCTTTCTGTTAATTTCTAGCGAGCGTCTAAGAGGCCAGTTATTGCAACCCCGCTACCAGTGTAACCAACCTCGCCCTAGTTTTCCACGTAGCCCTTCATCAAATACTGAGTACCCACTGTAGTTCAGGTCTTGTGATGACAGTACAGAGGTGAATGTAGTATAGTCCGTGTCTTGTATTAGCCTGGGACACATACACTAAAGAGCTGTAGTAATGACAACCAGAGTGCTGCGTGTCCCCAGTGGGCCTCAGCTGGGCAAGGCCTAAGAAATCTGGTGTTTGACAGATTATGGTACAGGCTTGTAGCTTGAAGAGTAGGCACTGAGAAAATAACATCCTGGACAGTCTGAGCCCATTCTGTAATTCAAGGGGAGCAAGCAGTTCAGTGACCCCTGGCGGTACAGTGGTTAAAGCTCTCTCCTGCTGCACGGAGAAAGATGATGCTTTCAGTGCCTGTAAAGATACATAGTCATGAAAGTAGTAGGTGTGGCTTGGTGTTTGGTTTAGTAGTTCAAACTATTTTTTGGTTATTTTAGAATTTATCGTTTCAGGACCAGTGTTGAAAGAAATGACATGGGGTGGCATCTGATATCCTCCATCTACTTAAAAACAAAACGAAAAACAAAAAACCCCTCACTGAACTCACTGCCACAGAGTCAATTCTGACTCATGTGGACACTATAGGAGTTTCTGAGACCGTAACTCTTTTTGTTTTTAATAGTTCAATCATTCAGTCATATCAAGGAGAATGGTACAATCATTACCCCATCAATTGTAGGGCACCCCCCATGATGAAAGTGCCTTTAAAATGAGTTGTGTAATCGCAGTTAGCTCTGATGCTCCCTCCCCCTTCTCCACTTCATTATTTACCCCCGAAATCCTCAGTCCCTCACTATCACCAACCCCTGCATTACCTATAACCCCTTGTATCAGTTATTATCATTATGCATCCACTTCTCCTGGGCTTCACAGCTGGGAAATCCAACAATAAAAAATAAATTCTCCATGATGAGGGCAATGAATGTACAAGTGTGCTTTACACAATTGACATATGTATGGATTGTGATAAGAGTTGTATGAGCCCCTAATAAAATGATTTTAAAAAATTCTCCCTAGAGTGATGAGGATAAAATCTAATAGTATAAAGACAAAAATACAAATAATGCATAAGAAGGAAAAGACCCCCACCAACATTCAAAAAGCCAGGGAAGAAATTTCTGTCGTGGAGCAGGTAAGGGACACTAGCACCCAGAACAAATTCCGGTCTTGTCGATAGGGAAGTCCACTGGCCAAGTATGGAGTGTGATACAGCAGCATCAAGATGACAGTGCACTCTGCCTGATCGCAAGGCTGTTCGAGACTCTTGCCTGTGGCTGGAGCAGGTCTGCACTGGCTCAGTGTGACTGGATACTCTGCAGATACTCTGTCCTCCAGAGCCTTCTACAAATTGGCTGTTTGTGATTTCTGCTCTGAGACTGTAACTCTCTATGGGAGTAGAAAGCCGAGTCTTTCTCCTGACTATCCACATAAGGTGGAAGGAAAATCTAACTGCACATGCACATTGCCCAAGGCTGATTTCTGTGAGATCAGACATGTCCCATCCTACAACCTTCCTACCCAAATCTAGCACCACAGGTCTCTCCCACAGCACTCTCTACTTTTTCAGTTGGATTTGATTATTCATTACAATGGGCATACAGAACTCACAGACAATGCTCATGATTATGGGACTTATTAAGGAAATGAACAGATTACAATTCAGGTGAGAAATGCTCAGGATACAGTCCTTCCACCATGACCATGTCTTCCCATAGGCAAGTCTCACTCTGGCTCTCGGTCTTTTGGCCTGGCTTCTGCTCTTTCCAGGCAATGTTACAAAGCTCTTTTAGGGCCGCCAACAACTGTCCAAGAGGCATGCTTCTCCACCATAAGCCTCAACCCAAGGGCATTCATCTCCAGCTCTACTGGTCAGCAACACTCAGCTTCCCCAATTAAATGCCCAGGGCCACCCCATTCCTCAAGCCCCTCTCCTGCCCTAAAGCAGGGCTTTGGACTGGGATCTCCACTGCTCTCTTCCTACTTAGCCTCCAGGTGCTGCTGCTGCTGACCTGTGCCACTCTGCCCTCACAGCTGTCTCTGGGATCAAGGAGGGCCAATGTGCAGGGATCTTGGGGTCCAGAGGACAAGCTCTGCACTGACACTTTTGCTGGCGCTGAAATCTCTTTTCCTCTTTCTGAGCTCATAACCAGGAGGATGACATCGACACAATTATCCCTGTTAACACTCCCGGCTGCGTCATATATTCCAATGAGCATCTTCCCCACCTGCTGCCCCAGGCGCCTCAGGAAAATGTAGATGACTTGGCGGGGGTCACAAAGGCTATTGTAGAAGAACCACGTTAAATAATTCACTACATTTTAACGAACAAAGCACTAGCTACTATGGAAAAATATTAAAGGTCCATTTTAAGTCTTTTTCAGTTTAGATATACATATAACCTGCTTATTATAAGAGATCTACGTTATTCATTATTGTGCGGGTTAACATTCATAATTACAGTAAAATCTGAGAAAGCCAGACTTACTACATAAAGGAAACTCTCAAATGTTTGCCACCAGAACGAGCAATTGAAAAGTGGTAAGACAATGCACAGAGAGGACCATAGGGCCAGTCCCACCATGAGACAAGACGTCCCTCACTGACCCCTAGTGCTACAAGAGACAACCCTGGAGGCACAGTGTAGGAATTGTGCCTGATCTGACCCCACCACACAGAGGGGCAAGGGGAGCAAAGCTATGAAGTCCCCAGGGAATACCAAAAATAGACTTTGGGGCCAGGGCGTCGCACTCCATCAGACTCAACCGGAAAACACGCCCAAAGGTCAGCAAACAGACCTGGAACTATTTGTAGACTTTTCTTTTTTTTCCTTGTTGTTTGGGTTTTTGGTTTTCTTTTGTTGTTTTGCTCTACCTTGTTTTTGTGCTGCTTATTGCCTCTGCATGTCTATCTAGATAAGATAGATGGGATAAATAATCCGGAGGAGAAAACAATGGCACTGATGGTTCTGGGGGGACATGGGAGAGGGGAGGCGGGGAAAGGAAGTGGGGGTTAACAAACCTAGGGACAAAGGAACAACAAGTGATCTCAAATCGCTTAGGAGGAAGGTGTAGGAGGCCTGGTAGGGCTTGATCAAGGGTACTGTAACCGAGAGGAATTACTGAAACCCGAATGAAGGCTGAACATGATAGTGGGACAAGAGGAAAGTAAAAGGAAATAGGAGGAAAGAACTAGGAGGCAAAGGACATTTATAGAGGTCTAGATACAGGCATGTACATATGTAAATATATTTATATATAATGATAGGGAAATGGAGCTATATTTATATGTTAAGCATTAAGGTAGCATATGGACATTGAGTCTCTACTCAGGTACTTAACACCAGAACATTTTGTTGTAATAACCTGCCATTCCATGATGTTCACCTCCCCGACACCATCGTTGAAAACAAAATGGGTGCATAGCAAATATGGTGAAGAAAACTGATAGTGCCTGGCTATCAAAAGATACATTGTCTGGGGTCTTAAAGGTCTGAAGGTAAACAAGCGGCCATCTAGCTGAGAAGCAACAAAGCCCACATGGAAGAAGCACACCAGCCTGTGTGACTATGAGGTGTCGATGGGATCAGGCATCAAAGACCCAGAACAAAAAATCATATCATTGTGAATGAGGGAGAGTGCAGTGGAGATCCAGTGCCGGTCTGTAGACAATTGGACACCCCCTTACAGAAGAGTCCCAAGAAAGAGATGAGCCGGTCAGGGTGCAGTACAGCACTGATGAAACACAACTTTTCTCAGTTCTCTAACGTTTCCTCCCTTCCACTATCATGATCCAAATTCTACCTTACAAGTCTGGCTAGACTAGAGCACATACACTGGTACAGATATGAGCTGGAACACAGGGAATCCAGAACTGATAAACCCCTCAGGACCAGTAATGAGAGTAGCAATACCAGGAGCATAAGGGGAAGGTGGGTGGAGAAAGGGGGAACCGATCACAATGATCTACATATAACCCCCTCCCAGGGGGATGGACAGCAGAAAAGTGGGTGAAGGGAGACATTGGTTAGTGTAAGACATGAAAAAATAATAATTTATAAATTATCAAGGGTTTATGAGGGAGGGGCAACAATGAGCTGATACCAAGGGGTCAAGTACAAAGAAAATTTCTCGAAAATGATGATGGCAACAAATGTACACATGTGCTTGACACATGGCTGTCTGTGTGGATTGTGATAAGAGTTATTTGAGCCCCCAATAAAATGATTAAAAAAGGAAAAAAGACAGTGGCAAGACAGCACCTGGTAAAAGGCAAGAGACCCGTGAGTCTAGGGTAAAAGGTGGTCTGGCTCTCAGATTTCACTGTATTCTCACGTTTATAGGGTTCTGTGGGATCCTGTGCATTTTAAAATAAAAGATACATGGCAAAAAATAAATGTTCCTAAATCTAAGTGTGTATGTTTTTTTTATTGTCTTTAAAGTGGTGTCAATATCAAAATGCCAATCAACTCCAGTGGACCTGATTGGGTGACTGTGGTTCCCAGGAGAATAAAAGGTAAACAGAAATGAACTTGATTTATTGTTATGACTTTTGCTACATGAGGTGAGGGACTGCACTTTCATGGATGTTACGGAACCTTTTTTCCTTCAACTTTTTCTCGTGACTGAGTTGAAGGCTTACAAGAGCAGAGCCTCAGTCGACATTCTGCAGTTCATCCGCGTGTTGTTTCAGCTCATTCATTGCAGGCACCTCGATGCACCATCGCCACATAGCACTGCTTCCCTTTGTGAGGAAGCTCTTCTCTCCTCCTTTTCTAACCCTGTGGAATTTTGGGAAGTGCTGCCTTTGCATCTCAGGTGGCTGGTTATTCTGACATGGGGGTGACTGTAGTTCCAGATCTGAAGGGTAACTCAGAACCATAGTCTTGGGAGTTCCACCCATCTACCTCACCACTGAGCTTGGTCTTTCTCAAGACTTTTGGGTTTATTTCTACATTCACCCCACCCCCCTCCACACACACACAAGCCAGGACCTCCTATTGTGACCCTACTCCAAGCAGTTGGTGGTGGTCGCTGGGCACCATGTAGTTCTTTTGGTCTCAGGGTCGTGGAGGCTCCTGCGTGGGTGGCCTGTTAGTCCACCGGGTGAAAGTTTCCGTAAGTCTTAATGTTCATCATTCTCTCTCCAGATGAGAGACCTGGTACACTTCAGATGACAGAGCATTGTGTTTATGAACTGTATTGCACGCCAGTGGGGCTTAGTGTCCAGCAACTCATTCCCCCTGGCGGTTAATTATTTCTATGAAGTTTTCATAACTTTGTGCCCTATATACTTCACTGCATTCATGAGCATATTTACAGTAAAAGCAAATATACTTGCCCTCTCCCTCCCACACCTGTCCAGCACATGTGCCTATCCAAGCATCTGCTAGCAGTTGGCCCCCACTGAGCATGTAATACAATTTGTCTCCATTGCCTCTAACTTTTATAAACCTTCCAATGTCTTGCCCTCCTTCCATCATTTTTTTATAACCTCCTTCTTATTGTATGTTGCCTTCCCCTTCCTCCAAATTAATACTTATCTATCCTATAGCACAAGACTTTCCCTTCCTCCTCTGCTCACCATCAAAGAATGTTTTAGTGGGAAAATCTTTTCTTGACTTTTTATAGCGTGGTCTCATATAATATGTACCTGTTTGAGATTAGCTGATTTTACTTAGCTTAATACCCTCCAGAGTTATGCATGTTATGACGTGTTTCTCAGGTCCATGTTCAGCCTTTAATGTCGTGCAGTATTCCGTTGTTTCTGTGTACCCTGAGTAAGCGTCAGAGGCCACAACTGACCTCCTTGGGCTACACCAAGGAGAAGGAGCATCCCTCTCCACCCCAGCCCCAGGCTGACGGACACAAGGCAGACGTCAGACAGACTTCTCCACCCTCTGTTCCTTCCTCTGACACCATCTGGTCCTCCCCCGCACTCCACTGCTAAACGCAACAATCTGTTGTCATGGCCACACGGAAGCCACAGACAACACTCACGATTTGGGGGGTTTATTAGGGAAACGAACAGGTTTCCACAAGTCAGGGTCATAGCACACGAAGGAAAGACCTTTGGTTCACAACAGCACCTCCTCAGCTTGCATAAAGGCTCTCTCTGCGCCTCACCTTACCCAGGTGGTCCCGTGGCCTCTGCTTCCTTGGTTTAGAAAGCCCACCTGCTGCTGCCTCTGCTCTGCATCATGGTCTCCTTGCCTCAGCCTCTGTGCTGCGGCGTCTGGCGCCTGCCGTTTCGGTAGTGTGAACCCACAAGCTACGCCTGAGGAAACACACGTGGCCGTCTCTGGTACAGGCGGCCTTGGAAATGTTTCTGTCAACAGAAGCATGGAGAGTTGCAGGTGACCTTATGGCACCTGGCTTGCTTGGTTTTGGACCTGACCTCTCAAGGAGCCCCAGTGCTGCACACAGAGGCTAGTGTCGAAGCCCTGCGGTCAGCAGCAGTGAGATTGTGGTGAGGTGCTCGAGCGGTTCTGACCCAGAGTGACCCTGTGGACAGCAGAAGGAAGCACCGCCCGGTCCGGAGCCATCCGCACAATTGTTCTTACGTTGGAGCTCAGGGTGGCAGTACATCCCACCGAGAGCCTTCCTCTTGATCTTTTTAAATGTTATTTGTTTTTTAATAAATCATTTTATTGGGGGCTCTTATAGCTCTGATAAAAATCTACATATCAATTGTCTTTTTTTTTTCTTTTAAATACTTTTATTGGGGGCTCTTACATCGTTTATCACAATCTGTACATTCATCCCATGTGTTGAGCACATTTGCAAATATGCCGCCATCATTTTCAAAGCCTTCTCTTCTCACTTGAGCCCCTGATATCAGCTCCCTGTTTCTTCCCCCTCCACCCCCCCCACCTTCCCTCATGAACCCTTGATAAGTTATAGATTATTATTTCCATGTCTTACATCGTCCTCTGTCCCCACTCACCCACTTTTCCATTGTTTGTTCCCCTGGGAGGGGGTTATAGATTGATTCTTGTGATCGATTCCCCCTTTCTCCCCCCACCCTCCCCTAATCCTCCTGGTATCTCTGCTCTCATTGTTGGCACTGAGGGATTTATCTATCCTGAATTCCCTGTGTTGCATGCTCTGGTCTTGTTGTATTTGTAAGGTAGATTTGGGATCATGATAGTGGGGGTGGGGGAGAAGCATTAATGAACTAGAGGAATATTGTTTGTTTCGTCGGTGCTATACTGCACCCTGGCTGGCTAGTCCCTTCCTTGTGACCCTTCTGTGATGGGATGTCCAATTGTCTGCAGATGGACATTGGGTCTCCACTCCATGTCCCACCCCCCACCCTATTCACATTGGGTATGATTTTGTTCTAGGTCTTAGAAGCTTGATACCTGATCCCATCGATATTTCATGATCACAAAGTCTGGTGAGCTTCTTCCATGTGGGCTTTGTTGCTTCTCAGCTAGATGGCAGCTGTCTATCTTTAAGCCTTTAAGACCCCAGGTGCTTTATCTTTTGATAGCCAGCACCATCAGCTTTCTTCACCACATTTGCTTATGCACCCATTTTGTCTTCAGCGATTGTGTTGGGAAGGTGAGTATCACAGGATGCAGATTGTTAGAACTAGGTGGTCTTGTGTTGAGGGAGTGCTCAAGTCGGGCCCAGTGTCCACCTGCAACCTTAATTCTTAACATATATATATAAGTACATAGTTCTATTCCCCTCTCGTTATATATATATTTACATATGGACATGCCTGTATTTAGACCTCTGTAACTGTCCTTTGCCTCCTGGTTCTTGCCTCTATTTCCTTTTACTTTCCTCTTGTCCCACCCTCATGTTCAGCCTTCATTTGGGTTTAGTATTTCCTCGCTGCTACATTGCCCTTGATTAAGCCCCACTAGGCATCCTATGCCCTTCTCTCCATTGGTTTTAGTTGATTTGTTGTTCCCTTGTCCCTGGGTTGGTACCCACCCCCTTCCTTTCTCCCACTTCCCTTCTCCTATATCCACCCCCTCCACCCTCACCGCAGAACCATTGGTCCTGTTCTTTTCATTTCTGAATTATTTACCCTGCCTATCTTATCTAGATAGACATGCAGATACATTAATAAGCGCAAAAAACAGGCAAAGTCAAATAAAACAACAGAGGAAGTCAAGACCAACAAAATAATAAAACAACAATAACAAAAACCCAACAATAACAAAAAGAAAGCCACTGACAAAAATGGAAAAGCCTATAGATAGTTCAAGGTCTGTTTGTTGGCCTTTACGCGTGTTTTCCAGTAGAGTTTGATGGGGTGCCACACTCTGTCTCCAAAGTCTATTTTTGGTATTCCCCAGGGGTTTTCTCACTCTGCTCCCCCTGCTGCTCTGCTGCATGCCCTTCGTGTTTTGCCCCAGCGCGATGGGGTTAGATTGTGCACAATTCCCACACTGTGTCTCCAGTATTGTTCCCCACAGTGCTATGGTTTTTGTGAGGGACGTCGTGTCTCGTGGTGGGCTGGCCCTATGGTCCTCTCTGTGTGTTGTCAGCTCCGAGCAGGAATATCGTCCTTGGGGCTTGGTGGGCCAGGATCTTTCCTCTTTTTCACGGCCCCCCACTTTACCTAGCATGGTGTCTTTCTCCAGGCGCTGACCTCACTGATGACGTGTCCAGAGTAGGTGAGGTGAAGTCTCTCCATCCTTGCCTCTAGGGAACACTCTGGCTGTACTTCTCCCAAGATAGACCGGCTTGTATTTTTAGCACTCCATGGTACTTTCAGCACTCTTCTCCAGCGCCAAAATCCAAATGCATAGATCCTTCTTTGGTCTTTTTTTATTCTATGTCGAACTTTCATGTGCATGTGAGGCAATTGAAAATTCCATGGCCTGGGTCTGTTGTACCTTAATCCTCAAGTTAACATTCTCTTTAATACTCTAACAAGGCCTTATGCAGTAGATTTACTTAATGCAACACATCTTTTGATCTCTTGATTACTGCTTCCATGATCATTATGGATCCAAGCAAGATAAAATCCTTGACAACTTCCACTTTTTCTCCATTTATCATGATGTTACCCATTGGTCTAGTTATGAGGATTTTGGTCTTCCTTTTATTGAGTTGTAATTCATACTGTAATTCATACTGAAGGCTGCAATCCTTGATCTTCATCAACTAGTGCTTTAATTTCTCCTCACTTTCAGCAAGCAAGGTTGTGTCATCTGCAGATCACAGGTTGTTAAGCAGCCTTCCTATCCTGATGCCATATTCTTCTCCATATAAGTTAGTTTCTCTGATGATCTGTTCAGCATACATGGGGGTGCCAAAAGAACAAAAGCAAAAACAAAACCCCAGAGAAAAGCTGCATTGGGCAGAGCTTTTGTGGCATGCATTTCCCCACTAAGCAAGCATCCAGCAACTCGCTCTGAGTCGGTGCTCCCAGGGGTGTTGCCTGGGAAGGCTCTCTCTGATCAATTTTTTTGTAAAAGCAATTTCTTTTGACCCTTGTTTTTGTGATGGCCGATTTAAGAGAACAGTATGCGGTTGTGAAATTTCGTTTCC